CCTTTGCTTTTGAATTGAAGCTTGAATGAGTGGAGTGAATTACTCTACAGACCACACCTGAGGTCAAGGATGACAGACATTCCCACTTATAATAGAAATCTAGGAAGGACTGAAATAGAGCAAGCAAGACAGTTCAAGAAAGATTTTTTTCCTCCAAACTATTAACTCCATTATGTTAGTAAAAGAACTTCATTTACTTAGAATTAAGAACTTAAAAAGCTTCGTAGAATAAACACCAAATTATGATAAAATGTCACCCTAAACAGAAATTTATAAATTTCATAAAGCACCAGAGTACATTTTGTTACATCATTCTTCTTTTATCTGCCTAATGTGTTTGAGGTTTTCAGAAAATGTCATTATGATACTAAAGCATAGAAAAATGCACTAAGAGATTTGACTGAAGCATCTGTGGACTTGCATGCTTTCAAACACTGGTTGGAGTGTAAGCTCTCTGTAGCTCAAAGTAACCAGAAATACATTAGACCCTACCACTCTCACCTCAGGGGGAAGAGGGAAATTTGTACATCTGATCAGTAGCCTTAGTTTCTTCCTTCTAAAACTTTGTAGAATTTACAAAATTAAATTGTTTGTTTACAAATTTAAATTTCCCTCTTGCATATATTCCCTTAATGTTTAATAATATTTTCTGACAATGGTGTATCATAATGATTTTGTAATCTTGATGACATTGGCCATACCTTTAAACATGAAATAATATGATCCCCAGAAAATATTAATAAAATTAATGAGGGACCAAACCAGTACCCTTTGTACATTCTTGCACAATTACAGCATCAAAAAACAAAACAAAGTAGGAAAAAGTAAAATATTCGTACTCACACAGGGGCAAGGCTTCACAGCATCGCTCGGAAAAAATCCAACCTCTCCAGATGCTAAATTTCTACCCTAAATTAGAGGTGGGAAAAGCCAGTGTTGAGAACACACTTAACACAAATGATCACCCCACAATGGTCTGTACATGGCGGTGCTACTCGGGATCCTCAGGACTGCTTCCACTTGGAATCCAGTCCTAAGTGTTAGCATGCTGTGGCTTGGGGAGGGGAGCATGAGCAGAGGGTTTAAAGCTGTTACTTACACACAGCTTCCGGTCACAATAATAAAGTGAGAATTCAAGTTCAACTCTCCAGTCCACCACTCAGTTTTGTTAACTGCACACCCCTCAATTCCATATAGAGATAACAGCATTCTGTGTCTTTCAATTTTATCATCATTCACACAAGTAGATCACACCGGTTTTGTGCAAGCCCAGAAATGACTAGGAATTTGATTTAAATGGTTACTACTGGTGCCCCTAACAGAACCCCTGAGAACGTTCCTCCAGCAGGACGAGACATTGCAAGACAGGTGGCAGCGGAACACAGCGTGTTATTCAGGAGAAAAAAATAGGATAATGACTAAAGGAAGACGACATCTTGTCAGAGGAAAGGCTTTTAACGCAAAATGGCATTGTAAATGAGGCGAGGAGGAGGAAATTAACGGTAAGAAAACCTAAGCACAAAATGGACCAAAAAATACTTAGTCAGGTTCCTCTTTAAACCAAGCTCATGACACAATT